AAGGCTTTTCTTGTAAATTCTATAACTTTGCAAAGAAAGATCGTGTAGAGCTGGGAGATGTCTCAGTTTAATCAGAATTTCGCCGGCTACAATCGTGACTTATTTAGAAAATTTCTGGAGATCTTTCGAATTGGTTTTCCGGAAACCGGGTAAGAAACGCCTATGGACTCAAATGAATATCATATTCGAAATCAGGATTGTCGATTACCTTGACCTACTAAATTTTGTTAAAAAGATGAGGAGACATTTGGGAAAGGTCTTTCGTGAGGTAGAAAGGTAAACTGACTGTTTTTTGAAAGGTTAGAAAAGACATGAATCACTCTGATTAAGGCAATTGAGAGAGGCTAATCTAGGAGGTAAATAACTTCGATATTTTCAGCCATAAATAAGAACGAAATAGGTTATATCTAATAATTTCTAGAAAAATCTCTTGAGTACTTAGGATAGTTTGTGAAAACAGAATATTTTCACTCAATATTTTCCAATAATTATAGAGAACTGATACAAATGGTGATGGAAAAAAGAAAAATTCCAAAAAATATACAGTTGAGGAAATTGAGAAGAAAAATTCTGTGAAGAAAAAAAATGGGAAGGATTTGAAAAAAGAGAAGGAAGATGATGACGAGAGAAAGAAAGAAATGGAAAAAATGAAGCTTGTTCAAGAAGAGCAACTACTTGCTTATATTCGGAACTGGCCGACATTTGTTGAAGAACGTGGTGCACGGACATTAAATGAACATTTCCAGATTTCAAAACTAGGTGAAGAAAAGAATTATGGCTACGCCCGCACACTACTCTACAAGAATTATTTCGAGTTTGTACACATACTGTAGCTGTATTCTTACTGTACAATTCTCCACCATTTATGCTTAGTTACAAAAATATATCAGTGGATTTGTTACATATGAAGTTGAGGATTAGCGATATTCTGTTGAAACAAGCGATAAAGGCTGCTTGTGAACCACAGAAATCATCAGAGATCACACTTGAATCAGCTGAAGCGCAATTAGAAAAGGCTTTCTTCTTCTTCAAAACAACATTCAAAAAACACAAAAGTATGACTTTACTAAAAATTCTCGAAATATTAACCTTCGAATAATATTTCCGACTTTAGACACGTGTCCGGTTTTCATTGGAAAATAAGAAAATATGTGTAGCTAGTTCAATGACTGGTGCTCGGCATGAAAAGTACACTAGAACTCTTCCATTAGACGCTATTATTGGTGATGAAAACAAACACAAACAAATTACAAATTTAATCGAGAATTTCTTTCTAATTCTGGAATGTTGTAAAACAAACGTTGGAGATCAAGAAAAACGACAACTTGTCACCAATTTAAAAGAAAAATGTGAACAGTGGGGATTAGAATATGCACGTTTATTTGGAGTCGATCAAATCACTCCTTATATACATGTTTTTATCAGTCACCTCCATGAGTTTTATGATCAGTTTAATAATTTGAACACATTTAGTCTTCAATGTGTCGAAAGACTAAATGAATTATTGACCCGTGATTATTTTGGTGGAAAAAATAGAAAAGGGGAATATTTCCAACAAATGATCAAAAAACGACTATGCCAAATGGTATTATCGGTGACCAGGACACAACTGATACTAGGCGAAATAACCCAGTTTTGATTATTTACACCAAAAATCAAAAAATTCATAACTCAGCCAAAATCCATCCTACCTACTTCAGAATGTCAGAAAATACTCTGTTTAATCCGCTCATTCTGATTCTGTACGTAAAATCAATTCTTTCAGTAACTCATCATATTCTTTCAGTTCCGAAGATTTCTGGGAAACCTTTCTAGAAACCGAAGTATTTTCTGTTGGTTTTTTCAACATTTAGATGAACTATAGGTTTCAAGATGTCACGTAGATCCAGTTTTGTAGAGGACACTTCAGTCTATATATGCCCCATAGATCAATAGATTTCTATTTGATAATAGTTTTATTCTATTGCAGCAAAGATGATTTTAACAAATTTCCACAGACACTAATTGTATTTCAAGAAGAACGTACCGCTGAATGTGGTCAAAATATTATCGATCCTTATACAGGAGGTCCAGTTCATTATACGGGAGTTTATGGAGGGAACGAAATGATCGTAGAAGATGTTGACACAAAAGCAAAAAGAAAAGTGTAAGACAACTAATTCGGAGTTATACTTCTTCCTATGGTGAATATATATGAACTTTTAGTCTAAAAGTAATATGTAAAATGCCACGAATTACAAAAGTGAATCATTTTGTTAATACACCACCATTTCTCTTCATCAGTCTTCCATATAATACAAAGACATTATATGGTTTACCACAACAGTTAACGGTTGGAGCAAACAGGTAAGGATTCCTTTACTTTTGTTTACAAATTAAAAAACAAGCAAGAATTATGTTTTTCGTAGTAGAAACATATGTCTAACCTAATCATCTACATTCTACTCTTATCGAAAGTCTTTTAGATTATTTTCGAATCAAATTGCATTGCACATATTAAATATCTGTTATATCTCTTAAGTATAATTTTCTTATTATATTTTTACTGAATTTCGCATGTAACCAACGCTTAAACGGTTTTTTTCTTTTAGGTATTTACAGCGGGCTTCTGTTATTCATCGTATAAACCATTTTATTGGCCTAATAAGAACAGAAAAGGATAATTATTACAAGTATCGTTCATCTTCGATTCACTGACCCTTGACTGAAAATGGATTTTTAGCGATGATTTGGTGTTAGTACGCGCTTGGCTTTTTAAAGGGATGGAGAAACAGGAAATTTTTGTTTATTTATGTGTATGATTGCATTAGATCCAATGACATATGACGTGTTGAAGGACAT